AATAAAAAAAGTATTACTTAAATATTTGTTAGTTTCATTTATCCAGTAAATAAACGAATAATAACTGTTTATTTGTTAGAGTGGCCTCATGGACACCCACCTTATGAAATCTACGTTTAGATCAGTTAGATTACCGGCTTTGACGGATAACTTTAAATATTCTAACCATGTACTTAGTTCTACTCACAGGTAAAATTAAAATAAACATATGATTAAGATTTGCATTCTTTGATATTTATAGTACTTTTTCGCAAAACTGTCACAAAAATCTTCATAAGTACACAGGTATGTCTAAAAATATGAAGGCTATCTTAATATATGGCAAACTATGTTATAAGTATCATTAAAAGTAAAAAAGTAGCTTACATATAGTCTTACGACTGTGCACAGGGCTGCTAATTATCCATGTGCAAAACTGCAGTTTTCACATGTTCAGATTTTATTAAACTGCTTAGACACAAAGGTTTCGCCGCGTAGTTAATCTGTACCACTTCAATGAGTGTTTATAGCATTTTGCTAAGTGTCAATTACGACAAATAATCTCCACAGGGGTCACCGAGCTAGATATTTTAAGTCTGACAATTATTTGATGGTGCAACGAAAAAAAATTTCATTTAAATCAATTATAGATCTTTATACATTTCTCTAGCTGTGAATTAATCAACTGCTATTGTCCCTGGCACCCGTTCAAATCTGAACTCTTACACTGGCAAAGCCGACAACCTTGTACCTCATTTGTTCTGAACTTGGCCCAATTTTCATATTTATTTATTTTTGTTGAGGTCATTGATTTTTGTCCCATTTTTTTAAATTTGCGTTTTTGAGATTTCGAAGAGTCAGAACTTTTCTCAACCCACTTAAACGTGATAGAGCTATACTGCAGCTATATTTATGGTTGTAGACAGAGTGGTTCGGCTCGACCGGGGAAGGTGCACGCTCCCACACTAGCGTAAAATAGCAGATTAATGCTGCTGTGTTTTGCGTATGGTGAGTGTGGAGACCAGTTTTACTAGAAACAAGGCACTCCATCTTAGTCCTCAGGGGTGAGATCGCATCTGTATTTGGATTATTAATTGAGTATAGATGCGGTTTTCTACGGGTAGCAGCTTCCACTTACCATCATATGGACTTTGTGCTCGTTTGCCACCCCTTATTCTATAAACGCTTATCGCATATAACTAGTTGTATGTATATTTTCCACGCAATTGTATTATTCAATTTTTATCTAATACTAAATAATTTGTTTCAGCGTCCACCATCCAGACTACCCATTCCACGACGAGTTCTAGAAGTTTCCTAGTTTTTAATACTTTAAATATTAATTTATTTTACTCTGTAAGTTGCGGCCAGTGTTGTTCGATTCGAAATTTTTTAAGTTCTTAATAAAGAATATTTGCATTTAAATTATTTTTTTTATTTTTTTCTATAAAAATTCCTGCCAACACCAATAATTTTTGTATTAGGTAACTTTTATGTGCTTGGTCATGAAGGAAAACTAACCTATTTGACCAAGTAAAGTATTTTCGAGGACACAAAGTCCACATGAGTAAAGTATTTTCGAGGACACAAAGTCCACATGTATGCATTGAAAGGACAATGGATGACGTGTGGCTCAGGACCGGGCTTTGTGGCATTCCTTGGGTAAGGCCTCTTCAGCAGTGAACTTATGAAGAGCTGCAATGACGATGATGAAACGTGCTGGAGCACCACAGCAAAGAACCTGTTCTGTATAACCTGCCAGACATGATAAAATACTTTGATAAGGACGTTATTTTTCTTTATTTTTACAAAGACCTAGTCCTGATTGTATAAAATTCGGAACGACATGGGTTTTTAATGTATATAATTTATAGTGAAAAGTGTACATAGGCCTCCCCCAAGGTATGCCACAAAGCAGTCCTGAGCCACCTGCATCCATTGACTTCCTGTATGTCTTACCAGGTCAGGTCGTCCACTCCATCTAATACCGCCGCTATATACCTCACTTTAAGATACTAGGCTGCCTCCTTGGTTCCCTGTCCATTTTAGGTTTTCCGAGCAATACGGCCGGCCCATTGCCACTCCAACTTATTGATGCGTTGTTGGGATATTTCGGGTACACTGGTTCTACTGCGGATATCCGATATACATAGAAACTGAGCATAACTCTCCATATTTCGCTGAGTGGACTTGAGCTTTTTCATTCGTCCAGCCGTGAAGGACCACATCTCTAAACCTTACATTACAACTGGTCGAAAAGGATATATTTAACTTAAAAATTTAAAAAAAACTCGTTCATTTTTTAAATATTTATTTGTACGGCAATCAATTATCTTACACAGTGCCAACACAACATCTCAACGATTAATGCGTCCCGTCTCGTTCATACGTACTGCGCTAGAGCGAGACGGAACGCGACTCACAACCCTATGTACAAATCGCGTATTAGAAAAACATAACCTATAACGACCAACATTAATCTAGAATTTAGCTAGGTATCTTATCTAGGACTTAGAACTATAGGAAAAACATTTACATCTATTATTTTACACGGTTGTAAGGAAATCATTGTTCCCACTCAATAGGCAACGTCTCGCGGGAGATCACTGGCGTTGTCGCCCGTTGCGCAAAGTTGCCATATCACAAAAAACCACACCCGTTACTGCCACGTGGGGGGCGTTGGAGTTTATTGTACGTGGTTGGAGTTTATTGTCATGTTGCACAGCTATATTATGGTTGTAGCACAAATGGGGACCGACCGAGGAATGACCACGCTCTCATAGAATAGCAGCAGCGTGAAATACCAACTTTATGCTGCTGTTTCATATGGTGAGTGTAGAGAACTTGAGAACATTTTTAGTGGATACGAGGCATTTCATCTCAGTCCTCAAGGATGATAATGCATTTGCATGTTGATTACTATTTGAGGATAAATGTAGATGTCTATGGCCTACAGCATCTACTTACCAGCTTACCATCAGGTGGACTGTGTGTATGTTTGTCACACTTATTCTATAAAAAATAGTATTAAGTACTACTTATTTTTGAAGTTTAATTGATTGTAATCGTGTAAGTTAATATCGCTTGACCTTGTTTTGCGGGTAGTTTACAATATCATTGATAATTTTAAAAGAATTTCTACTTTAGTTGTAGACAGAGAAACCTATAGACTAGCGTTGCCTCGAGTGAGAAATGACGATAACGTAGTTTTAGGTTACACAATAATGACTTTTAAACATATTTAGATAAATTTTTTAATGGTTCTAAGAACTGAACTGATCAAGATTCACCAATCTCAATCTCACAAAACACTTTTTTCTCACTTAAACCAACTTGTAAACAACATATATAGCTACGAACTGTCAAAGTTGTTTAGTAAAGTGTAGTTTGCTAAACAAAAAACCGGCACGGAGAAAGGGACAAACAATCACACCGCTCTGTCTCATTTCTATGCAAGACGTATGCATAAATCTATCTTTTTCGTGTGCGAATGCGAAAGAAGGCGTTAATTTGTCTATAGGTTTCTCTGTCTACGACTTTAGTAGTGTTAGGGCGAGTTTTCACTCAAAAGAAACGATTTTTTGACGTGACAACGTCCGAGTGAAAGGCACGATCGACTTGAGCGTAAATTTATCAATTAAATTGTAGGTTTCATTTCACTCCTTCTTTGTATCCATACAGAAACAGAAACTTTTTTATTCAATGTAGATTATAACAATACTTATTGAAAGTCAATTTTTTCATTTACCACTGGTTCGCAAAAATAACTGTCCTGGGAAGAACCAGCAAGAAACTTAGCGGGACAATTTTTTATAGCTTACAATCATGTTTACAATTAACACAAAACAAATTAGAAATAGCTTGGTAGCGATCACCCTTCCCAGGGGTTATTATCATCCATAAATTCCTTAATATTATAATAACTCTTTTTATACAAACTTAGTTTAATAACATTTTTGAACTTTGTGTATGACAAATTTTGTATATTTTCTGGGATTTTGTTATAAAAGCGTATACATCGCCCCAAGAATGAATTACTGACTCGGTGGAGTCGAGTAACTGGTACTACCAGCTTGTATCATATATAATAGTGATAATTCAATTTTAGTTAAAAGTATGCACAATCATTTCATCAATGTTTTGTTATCACGTTGTCACGTTAAACTATCGTCCGTAAGCCGACTTTGCAGACTACCAATTTTTATTTATTTATTGATAATGTTTAATTCATGAGGTGTTTTACAAATACATAAATTGTATGACAAACAGATCAGCAAAAAAAAACTAGTAGGCCATAAAAAATACTCGTTTCCAGCGGGAATCAAACCTGCTACAATAGTTACGCCATCAACAGACTGTAGCGGAGCTCTTATTTGTGTTTTTTTTTATATAGAATTATAGAATTTCTCATTTAGTTGTAAAACACATCTCTATTCCGTTTTAGTGGTAATCGATCTTTATTTCAAACTATCTGATATCCGCGACTTCGGCCGCGTTCTTACAACTTTAATAACTTTATATTAAATGAAGGTATCGCAATATTCTTTTAGATAAGAGCCAAGTGTCTAAGAAATAAAACTTAGAAAACATAATTGGTAAATCTATCCAGTAGTATTTCCGTGATGCGCGCACAACCGCCAAACACTATCATTTTGTTTATATTGATGATGATTGTATAAATATTACGAGAAAAATAGCCAACGAGTTTGCTGCCGTTCCTCACAAGGTCTCTTCATGGTAGGGATTGGTTGAAGCGATCGCATAACATTTGACTTTCAATGGCGTAGCGTCTGACTTTCAAAAAGTACTTTGTAAAAGTTTAAAACCCACAAAATTAAGTTAAAAAAAAATCTATTTTAACCGTTAAAATTTTTAAACATTTTATTTAACCTTTTTAAAATGTAATCACAACGAATTTTCTTCAAAATTTACTAACGAAAATATCGCAAGGTGTTTCCCCCCCCCCCCCAAATAACAACATAACGTGGCGTAACGGGCACTCAGACTAGATTAATCTAAAATTAATTCTTCGTTGTAGGCGTTCCAATATTCAACAGGCCGGAGTACCCTCTGAACTGGTTGGCCATGAAGTCCCTGTACATGGCCAGTTGCCTCTGGTCCATTTGGCCCAAGCTACTATAGAGGGCGCTCATGTACACGGGGTCCATGAACGGGGTGATGTTGGGAACTGATTTCTGCATCTCCATGATCTGTGCCAGGCTGTTTTGGACCTTTGGGGGATTACTCGGCAAAGTATTGGTCTGGGAATCCCTAGAGCCGGTGGAACTTGGGGACGTGTCGTCTCTCGTCGAATTGACTTGGTAGTTTGGTACCACGATCGGGTTCTTCTTCTGCAACCCTGATGGGGATGGAGGTGGGTACGGTTTGGTGTAATCTTTCGGCGGTGTGGGGGTTTTCGCGGACATAAACTTCCCGTTGGAGGAACGCTTTTGAGGCGGTCTCTTGGGCGGCGTTTGGGATTTGGGGTTGACTAGAGTGATTTCCAAGTTCGAACCGACTACCGCTTTCCCGTCGAGTAGGGTGTAGTTCTTTGATAGGTTTTGAGCTGTTGGCGTTTTTGGTGGGGATGACGGTAACCGGACTATTTCGACCGCCGGCTTTTGTGGTGGGGTTTGGGATTTGCAGGTGAGGTCGAGGATGTCTTGCGGTGGCGTTGTTGGGGTCTGGATACTTCTTTGCGGCTTAACTGGGGTCCCGTGGAGGATGTGGGGTGGGGGCATGAAAGGGTCTTTTGGGTTCCCGTAAACCGTCTTCTCAGGTCCGGAAGACCCGAAGATGCTAGTCGCCTGTATAACTTTGGGGGGTTGGACGCCATTGGGTATGTTTGGTGGAATTATGTTGTACATTTGAAATAGTTGAGCTTGCGTCATTATTTGGTGCTGCATGGCTGGGTTCAGGATTATGGGGGTGGGATTAATTAGGGGCGTTATGGGATTAGCGAGAACCGGTTGTATGGGCCAGGCCGGTGGGACGGCTGTCACTTCTAGACCCCGCTCTTTGAGGATGTCCAGTTTCTTCTTCTTGATTCCTTGCGGGCTCTCCGGGTACTCATCCAGGTCTATTATTTCTGGCGATTTTGGTTTGAATGGTATCTGCGAACAATTGAGATGGGTTACTTATCCGTTAAGGGATGTTGCTGTTGTATGCATGATGATAACAAGATGTTTATTAGTATCGGTGATTTTGATGATCTTAACGAAGGTATCAGTAGCATTATGAGACAGTTGTGATCATTGTGACATGGTATTAATAATTTAAATGATGGTTGTATCCTTCCTGACCATGCCTTGGTTAAATTGGTAGTCATGATATCCATTTAATGGTCTTAAATAAAATTTAATGACTTTTAGACGGAATTTGTAATGAGATGAGTAATTTTTATTTAAAAAAAAGACGTGTGGCACTCGGGGACTGCCGCGGTAAAGCTATTGCATAGCATTTTTATCAACTTATGCAATTATAATTATTTATTTATTTTATTTATGCAGTTTTTTTTTCTCTTTTATGATATTAATCCAAGTTTTTTCTTTGATATTAATTCAAGTTACACTTTTTGAGCCTGGTGACCGATAAGAAAACAAATTTTTTTCTTTTATTAAATAAATGTGAAGTTAATATTGTGTAAAATATTTTATTATCTTACAATAGATGTAGGTTATTGTTTAAAATATTCTTGTTATCTTACTACGCATACGTCTAGTCGCACGCACACAAACACCGTGCCGAAGTCTGCCGAACTTAAACGACGTTAGACGATGTTAGGTTTTCGGGTCTTAGGTTTACGAGGGCGGCACTGAAAATTTCGGGAATCAAGGAAGTGACACAACATTACTATTTAAAAATGTATTTATTGCTTTTCGAAGTATTCTCCGCGAAATTTGACACATTTTTCCATTAGTTGGAACCAATCATTGAAGCAACCAATTCCATTCGGAAGTTGGGGTCTCCAAAATGGCCGTTTTGTAGGCGTCCACAGCTTCTTCAGGTGATGAAAATCTCTGTCCACGCAATTTATTCTTTATTTTAGGGAAAGTATAGAAATCATTAGGGCTTAGGTCGGGGCTGTACGGCGGATGGTCTAATAATTCTATGTTTTCTTGCTCTAAAAACTCTTTTGTTCTGTGTGCGGTGTGAGAACTCGCATTGTCGTGATGGGGGATGATGCGGCGGTTGCAGTTCTCTTTACGGAGTTCAGAAACGACCTGTGGCAAACAAATGCTGCATACCATTTTGCATTAACCGTTCTTTGTCCCTCCAGAGGAATAGAGGGGGTGGCCCATTTTTTTTGCAACACTCCGTGATCCGATCAACTCCAATTTTGTTGGCTTTAACTCATTTTCGAACACCCAAACTCGTGACTGTTTTTTTGTTTCGGGTTCGTACGCGTATATCCAGCATTCGTCACCTGATACGATGTTGTATACAGCATTTGAGGATCCTGCGTGGAATCTTTCGAGAGTTCTGACGCACCAAGTAACGCGAGCCGCTTTTTGCTCTTCACAGAGCGAATGCGGTATCCATCGGGAAAACAACTTTTTTACACCTAATTGTTCATGCAATATTATTTGTATTTGACTCATGCCAATGTCTAAAGTGCTGAATCGCACATGTCGATCTTCCTCAATCAGCTTACGCACAGCATCAACGTTTTCTTGGGTGACTGCAGTTTTTGGACGACCTTGACGGGGATCATCGCTGAGCTTGACACGTCCATGTTGAAATTCAGCAAACCAGCGATAAATTGTGGTTTTGGATGGGGCTTTATCACCAAATGCAGAAATCATCCGGTCAACACACTGTTTTTGTGTTAAACCACTTCGAAAGTTCAATAATAAATCATGCTTGAATTTTTCGAGTCAATTCCATTTTCTAAACGACTAAACAAGTTTGACAAAACCTTGTGACAAGACCGAGATTCTTTTTTAAAATAAATAAATGGTATTCGATATTTAAAACCAAGGAGTTTTCAATTAAAAAGATTTTAATATGACAGGAACAGTGGAAATATTCCATTCCCAATACTTTTAGTGCAGCCTAGTATTTCGTTACGGAATGTCTTGATTCGGTCGTCGCCACTGACCTCTATACATACAAGTACGCTGTATATAAGCTATGCAATAGCTTAAAAATAAAAGAATAAGGATAGTGAGTGGTGGTTAGTAATGGCGATGGGTAGTAGTAAATTGAGCCGAGAGATTGTAATGAGTGTTAATGTGTTGTGAGTGATGGTGGTGGGTGCTAGAGAGTGAGTGATGATCGTGGACCACGGCCCACATTTATCATTAAGAGTATTGATGGTGGGTTGAAGCTAATTGTGGTGAGTATTGAGTGGGTTAGACGGTTTTTGTAAGAGTGGATGATGAGTGGTAGCGAGTTATTGTGTGTAAGTGGTGGGTTATAGTGAGTATAAATAGTAAGAGGTGGTGAGAGTTGGTGTTGAGTGTAGGTGGTAAGTAGTAGTAAGTTGAACTAAAAGTGCACTAGGAAAAAAGTGAACAACCAATGCGGATGCACGTACACAACTACAATTCAAGAAATCGCAAAAGATTAGTTGTTCCAAGAACCAGATTAGTCAAAGTGTTCAAGCAAGGTTTTGCAATAAAAATTAAAATGTAGGTACAATAAATTGCCACAAGAAATAACAAGACTTCCACTAAATGCGTTTCGACAACAGATAAAAACGAACGAAATGTTCATTTTCTGACTTGCATGAGATATAAAATAATGATATGTAAATGTTTTAATTTGTAATTTTAATTAACTGCCGAAATCTTATATAATTTTGACGTACCAATGTTACGTAATGTAACGTAATGGCAAACATATAAATAAATAAGTTGTATGCGATCATGGTAAGTAATGGTGGTTAGTTATGTGAGCGGTGGTAAGTTGTGGTGAGTAGTGGTGAGTTACGACGAGTGTGTGTGTCGGTACCTCGACGATGTCGTCGTCGGCGTGCGGCGGCCGGTGGATGCCGAAGTTGTTGAGCGCCGGCGCTGCGGCCACGCCCGCGCCCGCTGTGCACAGCCGGAACAACATTATTAAATACAAGGCACATGCACTTGACAACATCCTGGATGACCGAGGTTTGCTCGATTTTAATTAAAAATTATATGCAATTAGTTTAATTAAAATTTTCGTATTTTTAAAATATACTAAAAAAGGGCTAGAAATAATAGATTTTCTCACAAAAGAAGGGAACTTGAAAAAAAAAGGAAAAAAAAGTCGGACCGAAAACAGGACGCGAACCAAGGCATTAAGATTTCGCAACCGCTCGATATCCACTTGAGCTATTACGATCATTAACACAGTGTCAAAATTTACCTTCTTATATTATAGCAGTTTTTTATTGGCTGAAAACACGGACAAAAAGACATTTTCTAAAAATAAATCCTAGCTAGATCGACTTATTACCCCCGAAACTCCCTGGACACTAAATTTTATGAAAATCGTTGGAGCCGTTTCCGAAATTCCCATTATATATATATATTTTTTTTTTTTATATATTATTTATAACATAGAAACACTCACGCCTGTCGCCCAGAGGGGTAGGCAAAGACTATAGAATTCCATTTGACACGGTCCTGACACACCTCTCTCGCCTCCTTCACATCCTACGCATACTTGCTCGTCGGTTAAGGGTACTCCTAATTTGGCCCGTTTTCAATAAATCGCCATTGTGAATTTTCACCTAGGACGTCCCTTTCCGACACTGCCATTCACTTTTGCAACATAAATTTTCTTTGTCACTCTTTCCTCATTCATTCTTTCCACATGACCAAACCACCGAAGCATTTCTTTCTTAATCCTGGTCACAACATCATCTTGCAAACCACACTCTTCTCTTATAACACAATTCTACCCTGTCATTCAGATTCAGCCCTAACATACTCCCTAACGACCGCATTTCTACTGCGTTCATTCTAATCTCGTGCTTCTTCTGCCACACCCAACTTTCACTACCATACGTTAAAGTAGGGACCAACACAGCATTGTGAATTGCCATACGTGCCTTTTTCGATACATTTACTCTATTTCTTGCATTCACTCGTCGTTCTATATCCTTATCACATCTCCCATTCCTGCTAAATACGCAACCCAGATATACAAACTCATCTACTTGCTCGATCAACTCCCCTTCTATTCTTATTTCACATAAATCGTCTTACTCTTCTCTTTCAAAAACCATAACTTTCGTCTTACTTGCGTTCACTTTCATACCCCTTTCTTTTAATGATCCGTTCATTAATGTAACCATCATTTGCAACTCGGCCGCCAACGACGCAAGAATAACTTGATCATCGGCGTACAAAAGGCATTTGACGGTTAACTCACCCATTCTTAATCCGCATTCTTCAACTTTCAAATTTTGCAAACAGCTGTCCATAAATAGTTGAACAGCCACGGGGAAGCCACACAGCCCTGTCTGACACCTTTTTGGATGCCAAACCAGTCCGAGTAGACCCCGTTGATCCTAACACAAGCACTAGAGTCCCTATAAAGCGACTCCAATGCCTGTATCAAGCCAGTGTTCATTTTTTTTTATTACAGCCCTTCACAAGTCCACTGCTGAACATAGGCCTCCCCCAAGTAATGCCACAAAGCACGGTCCTGAGCCACCTGCATCCATCGACTTCCTGCATATCTTACCAGGTCGTCACTCCATCTAGTGGGGGTTCGCCCTACACTACGCCTGCCGGTACGAAGCTGCCACTCGAGAACCTTTCTTCCCCATCGGTTATCGGTTCTTCGAGCTATATGGCCGGCCCATTGCCACTTCAGCTTACTAATCCGTTGGGCTATGTCGGTCACTCTGGTTTTACTGCGGATATCCTCATTTCTGAGTCTATCACGCAGAGAAACTCCGAGCATAGCCCTTTCTATAGCTCGCTGAGCGACCATGAGCGTCCTCATACGGCCAGCAGTGAAGGACCACGTCTCAGATCCGTAAGTCATCACTGGCAACACGCACTGGTTGTACAATCTAGTTTTTAGAGATTGAGGTATACCTGACGAGAAGATGTGTCGTAATTTCCCGAACGCAGCCCAGCCGAGTTGAATCCGTCGATTAACCTCTCAGTCGAAGTTGGACTTACCTAGTCGGACTATTTGTCCCAGGTAAACTTACTCGTCAACAACTTCGAGCATAGTGCTCCCAACAACTACCGGCATAGGTGTGACATGGACATTAAACATGATCTTTGTTTTGTCCATGTTCATCTTAAGACCTATCCATTGGGAGGCACTATTGAGGTCATTGAGCATAGTGCTTAAGTCCTCCAGCGATTCTGCCATAAGGACTATATCGTCGGCAAATCGAAGGTGAGTGATGTACTCACCATTGATGTTAATACCGTATCCTGTCCAGTCCAGTAGCTTGAAAACGTCTTCCAATGCAGCGGTGAAGAGTTTCGGGGATATAACGTCACCCTGTCTTACACCTCTCTGCAGTTGGATAGGTTTCGAGCTCTGGTTCTGTACTCGGACAGCCATCGTAGCCCTACTGTACAAACACTTTAGCACTTCGATATACCGATAGTCAACTTGGCACCGCTGAAGGGACTGTAGCACCGCCCAAATTTCGACGGAATCAAAGGCTTTCTCATGGTCCACATACGCCAGGCAAAGTGGCAGATTGTACTCTTCAGTCTTCTGTACAATCTGCCGCAGGGTATGTATGTGGTCTATGGTACTGAAGCCTTTTCGGAAACCGGCTTGTTCGTCGAGTCTGCGTGCGAGACGATTCGTAATAACTCTCGAAAACAGCACGTAGACGAGGCTCAGAAGGGAAATCAGGTCTGTAGCTCTTCAAGAGAGAGTTGTCGCCTTTCTTAAAGAACAAAACCACCGCACTTCTGCTCCACGCCTCTGGAGTAGTGCCACCATGGAGGACGGAATTGAAGAGCTTCTGAAGGACTTCAAGTACCGGTGTTCCACCCGCTTTCAGAAGCTCCGCTGTAATTCCATCCTCGCCTGGGGCCCTGCCGTTTTTAAGGTGCTGGAGAGCCATTCTAATCTCGCTTAGACTGAAGTCCGGGATATCATCGGAATAGTGTCGGATCAGACTTGCTCTTGGATCGTTACTCACACTTGCGTGTGGCTCCAACGATGATGTGTACAGCTGCCCATAGAACCTCTCAATCTCACTCAGAATCTCAGGTGTCCCGGAAACGATGCTGCCACACTCAGTCTTCAGCCTTGACAGTTGGCTCTTTCTGGCAGACAGGTCTCTGGCAAAGACTTTGGAGCCCTGGTTCTGCTCGATCGCTTCTTTAATACGAGCAGTATTGAAGTTGCGTAAGTCTCGCCGCATGCATTTGGAGATCTGTCTGTTCAGTTGCCTGTATGCTGTCAAATCTGTTGACGATTGCAGCCTCATCTCCCATCAAACAGCCATGAGATTAAGAGTGTGATCGGAGTGAAGCCAGCGATCAACCCAAATGAATTCAGTGTTTGTCATAGCACATCCCTATCCACTCTGTCATAGGCCTTTTCCAAGTCCATGAACGCACAAAAAACGTTTTGGATTTTGGCCAAAAACTTTTCCGCGATCATGCGCATGGAAAGACTTGATCTGTACATCCCATTCCCTTTCAAAATCCCGCTTGCACATCCCAAATTTCTTCATCAGTTTATTTCATGACCCTTTCAATTAGTACCTTAGCATACAGTTTTCCCACAATGCTAAGAAGGCTGATACCACGGTAGTTTTTAAGTCCTGCTGCGACCCTTTTCCTTTATAAACTGGGACTATCACGGCTTTGAACCAGTCTACCGGTACCCGCTTCAGTTCCCAGCATAAATTAAACAAGGTGTGCAGCAGGCCCGCCACTACTTCCTCTCCAGCCCTTTCGTATCGCATTTCGAGTGAAACTCTATCATATCCGGCAGTCTTATCTGCTTTCATGCTTTTCATTGCTTTCATTATTTAATCTATACTTATCTCGCTACCTCTTTCCTCTTCTTTCGGAGTTTCTACTTCACTTAGTACACACGTTGTCTCCTCACTCATAAACATGCTTTCAAAATATTCCTTCCATCTCTTTAAACTCAAAACTTCATCATTCAGAATATAGCCATTCTCATCTCTTATGGCATTCATTATAGGTTTTTGAATGTCCCCTGGCAGTTTTTACGAGTTTCCAGAACATTTATAACCTGGAAGTATCCGATATTCTTCTATCATTCTTATCCGTTCTTTCTTGCTTTTTCCTTTCAACTAAAGCGACAGTAGCCTAATGGCATGGCGACGACGCGGTCAAAAAGGTCGCGGGTTCGAATCCGCCATTCGACTACTAGCGTGTACCACTCGTAACACAAGCAATTTAAGCTTACCACGAGTGGTTAAGGAGAATATTAGTAATGTTTATAGCATTGTTCTCTTTTACTCTCTTATTTAGATGTCTAAAGACTGCCTTTTTTCTTTCAATATCATTATTCGTACCGCTAGAATTACCAGCCTTTGTTGCTAGTAAATCTAGCCATGCTCTCTTCTTTGCTTCAACTTCCATACGTATCTCATCATCCCACCATAACGTATTATTTTTCCTTTCATTCTTTCTCTTACTAACACCACATACTTTGGTAACTGCATCCACTAAACCTTTCTTTACATTTTGCATATATATATATATATACAAGAATTGCTCGTTTAAAGGTATAGGATTATTTATATTAATATCTATACTTATCATGAGGTCCTGTGTTCGAATCCCGGGTTGGGACAAAAACAATTATTGAGTTTTTCCCTCAAGAAATTCTCAGTAGCTGTAGCCCGGAGTCAGGAAATTTGCGGTGTCTCACCCCCGTGCCTTGGAAAGCACGTAAAGCCGTTGGTCCTGCGCCTGATCTCTCTCCGGTCGTGTCGGTTTATCGTCCCATCGGATTATGAGAGTGAGGCAATAGAGAGTGCACCTGTGCTTGCGCATACACTTGGGCACTATAATCCTGTCCTGCGCCGATGGCTAGTCTCTGTTGAGGCAGGCCGCCGTGACCGAAATTGCACTTGACAACATCATTATTATTATTGATATTAACATGCATATATATATATATATATATATATATATACATATATATAAATGTATATACAGCACACAGAATACGACCGTTAAACAACAGCTTAATGCTGCTGTGTGTCATATGTTAAGTGTAAAGAACAGGAGACCATTTGTACAAAAAATGAGGCATTCCATCTTAGTACTCAGGAGTGGCAACACACGTCGATATAGAAGACAGATGTAGATGTCTATGGGGCACAGCATCCACTTACCTTCAGGTGAACTGTGATCTCATTCGTCACCCTTATTCTATAAAAAGATGCTCCTTATTACGAAAGAAACGCATATCCAATAATAAATTTTTAAAGTCGAAAGTTGAAAACACACACTCACGTACGAATTTAAATGGGATACCCATTCCATTATCCCCCCCCCCCCTCTAATAATATAAAAATAATAAAATCAAAATATGGCCTATTAATATAAAAAAATCATAAAATCAACTTCCTATATCTATACAAACACCACACATTTAAATGAACATACTACGCGCTTATTTCAAGTTTGCCGTCGTCGACCGTTGTTATATCACAGCTGACGGTACCGTAGACAAAAAAAATTATAATGTTTATCTATAATATCATGTAAACATTATGACTATTTTTGGCAAATTGAGCAAAACTAGTAGTTTGTTATCCTGTACACAGAAATTGACAGCAAACAAGTAGATGATATGCATATTACAAAATAATTTATTTAGTAAAGTGAAATAATAACAGTGCATAGGAACGTGTCTGATGCAATTATATTATAATTAAAATTTTTATAGTTGTATTTTGCATTTTAAATATTTTAAATACGTAAAATATTACGAAGGCGCTGCTATAGGTACTAATGGGGCGACGCTCGAGGCGCGGAGTGAGGGAGCGCGGCGGGAGGTAACAGCATTCTTGGAAAGAACAAGTAGTAGTTTTTACAGACTTGCTGCTAATATTAGACCAATTTTTAATAAATTTGAACCGTGGTCAACAACGGCATTGGGACGAGTCCCCTCGTTACCACGAGTGCTGCAAAGTAATCGAAACTTCGGGAATATCAAACAATTAATAAAACGCGATAAAATTCGTCACAACTTATCAAAATCATTCTTTTTATAGAATAATGGTGACAAACGCGCACGCACTCCACCTGATACATCTATTTTTGATATCAACATCCATTGTCACCCGTGAGCACTAAAATGGAATGCCCTTCTCCCATAGAATACTATAATACACAATAGAATGGCTGTTAACCTTATTTTGTACGAGGATAGGCGTCGCCGGGAGCACACATACAAGCAATAACGTCGTATTATCACTACTACAAACCCGATTCGCTGTACTGACAGACAGATTTCAATACATATTTATTTGTAAATAGCGTGCAATTTGGCATTTTCTAAATAATTTGCATGCGAAATTCGGAAACATGTAACGTCAAAATACATCTCGTGCTGACATTTATACGTGTGAATTGACGTGTCAGTGGCATTTTAGTGGCTACGCGAGCTCCGCCCACTCCCCCGTTCTATTATGTATGTAATAATAGTATTCTATGCCTCGTTTCCAGTAAAAAAGTTCTCCTGTTCTCTACACTCACCATACGAAACCCAGCAGTACTAATCCGCTATTTTACGATGATATTCTGTTTTAGCGTGGTCCTTCCCCGGTCAAGCCAACCCATTCATACTACAACCATAATATAGCAGCATCGTGGTTCTACCACGTCTAAAATCATACCATACATACAAAAAATTATTCAGTCAATAAAGGAAACTTACGCGTAACGGTGGCCGTCAGCGGTCGCGTAGGTTTCACTCTGACGGCTCGAAGGGAGCTTCGCCCCACCGGACGAGTGTTTCGCTGTGGGAAATAACAAAATATGTGATAATGTGATACGCACACAGAATGTAATATCACATAATGCCGACACTGAGTAACATACATACATTATCAAAAAAAACGTGGTACCCACCCGCACTGACCTTCATGGTGTACACAATATACACCTTGAAGGTCATGTATATAAAATGCTCTGTGATCAGTGCCGAACTAACTATAGTATGTGCCAAATCGATTAAGAAAAACGGACAATGACCTCAGATATGAGCCGAGTGTCAAAAGGCGTAACTTACAAAATCTCAATTTAGATACATACATAAACACTCACGCCTGTCACCCAGAGGGGTAGGCAGAGACTACGGACTTCCATTTGGCACGATCCTGACATACCTCTTTCGCCTCCTTTACATCCATATATCTACGCATACATGCTCGTCGGTTAAGGGTACTTCTAACGTGGCCCCTTTTCAAAATATCGCCAATTTGGTCGATAAACTTTTTTCTAGGGCGTCCCTTCCCGACTCGACCGTTCACATCTGCCATATAAATTTGCTTTGTCACTCTTTCCTCATTCATTCTTTCCACATGACCAAACCACCGAAGCATTCCTTTCTTAATCCTGGTCACAACATCATCTTGCATACCACATTTATCTCTTATCACGCAATTTCTCACCCTGTCATTCAGATTCAACCCTAACATACTCCTTAAAGACCGCATTTCTACAGCATTTATTCTACTTTCGTGCTTCTTCTGCCACACCCAGCTTTCACTACCATACATTAAAGTAGGGACTAACACAGCATTATGAATTACCATACGTGCCTTTTTTGACACATTCTGGTTCTTCTTAATAGAGTGTAGTGCCCCATTCACTCTATTCCCTGCATTTACTCGTCGTTCTATATCCTTATCGTATCTACCATCCCTGCTAAATACACATCCCAAATATACGAACTCATCCACTTGCTCAATTAACTCTCCTTCTCTTCTTATTTCACATACCGTTTTTCTTTCTCTTTCAAAAACCATCACTTTCGTCTTACTTGCGTTCACTTTCATTCCCCTTTCTTTTAATTCCCAGTTCATTAATGTAACCATCATTTGCAACTCAGCCGCCGATGACGCAAATATGACTTGATCATCGGCATACAAAAGGCATTTGATGGTTAACTCGCCCATTCTTAACCCACATTCTTCATCTTTCAAATTTTGCAAACACCTGTCCATAAATAGGTTGAACAGCTAAGGGGAAGCTACAGAGCCCTGTCTGACACCTTTTTGGATACCAAACCAGTCCGAGTAGACCCCATTGATCCTGACACAAGCACTAGAGTCCCTATAAAGAGACCTTAATGCCTGTATCAAACCAGCGCTCAACCCATATGAGTTCAGTGTTTGCCATAAAACATTCCTGTCCACTCTGTCATAAGCCTTTTCCAAGTCCATGAGCGCACAAAAAACTTTCTGGTTTTTGGCCAAAAACTTCTCCGCGATCATGCGCATGGAAAAGACTTGATCTGTACACCCCATTCCCTTTCTAAAACCCGCTTGCACATCCCAAATTTTTCCATCAGTTTCTTTCATAACTCTTTCAATTAGCACCTTAGCATACAGTTTACCCACAATACTAAGCAAGCTGATTCCACGGTAGTTTTTGCAGTCCTGCTGTGACCCTTTTCCTTTATATATTGGTACTATAACTGCTTTACACCAGTCATCCGATACCCGTTTTAATTCCCAACATAAATTAAACAAGGTGTACAGCAGGCCTGCCACCACTCCCTCTCCAGCCCTTAGCATCTCGAGTGAAACTCTATCATATCCAGCTGCCTTACCTGCTTTCATGCTTTTCATTGCTTTCATTATTTCATCTACAATTATCTCACATGGGAAAGAGGTGACGATAGAAGCATGATAGATTTCGTAATTGTGGATGAAAGAATGAGGAGCGCAGTCGTAGATACAAGGGTTTACCGGGGGTCCAACGTAGGGACGGATCATTACTTGGTCTTATGTCGAATTAATGGTCTTTTCAAGCGTTGGCGGCATCGGACATCTGTGTCTACCACTGCGTTACAGCGTATAAGAATAGAGAAGTTACAAGATGAAGATGTGAAAGAGAAGTATAAATGTAGACTGAGAGAAAATATTAGATGTTTGAATGAGTTGTGTATGAATGATTTAGACTTGAATACTGTGTGAGATAATATTAAGAAAGGTTTGGTGGATACCGCCACCGAAGTATGTGGTGTAAGTAAGAGAACAAATGAAAGGAAAAGTAATATGTTGTGGTGGGATGATGAGGTGCGGGTGGAAGTTGAATCAAAGAAGAAAGCATGGTTAGATTTAATAGCAACCAAAGCTGGTAATTCTTCTGGTATGAATGATGAGATTGAAAGAAAAAAGGCAGAATATATAGACGTCTAAATAAGAGAGTAAAAGAAGTTGTTGAAAGGAAAAAGAAAGAAAGAACGGATAAGAATGATAGAAGGATATCTGATAATTTCCAGGCTAACATAAAAATGTTCTGGAAACTCGTAAGAACTGCCAGGGGAAATACAAAACAGCCTCTAATGAATGCTATAAGAGACGAGAATGGATGTATTCTGAATGATGAAGTTTCGAATTTAAACAGATGGAAGGAATACTTTGAAAGCGTGTTTATGAGTGAAGAGTCGTCTGAATTAAACGAACTAGAAATTCTCAATTTAGATGTGATAACAATATTTAAATATTGATATTATTCACACTTCTAGGTCAGCACATATGTTTTGTTTTTTTGTTTCTTAAATAATATTGTCTGTGGTTCCTATATATATAGTAAAATCTTACGGTACAGCGCGAAAAATGTGTTATATTTTATATTTCAATTTGTGGTAAGTAACGCAGCAATTCATTTAATAACAGTTTCATATTAAAAAAATATTTGAAGAAATATAATCACCATATTGAGCTTTTGCAAATTCATCCCTTTAAAATAAACAAAACGCGCGTTACGTCAGTTCATTCTAAAAGAAATGTGACAATGGCAGCCAGAGATGCGTCACTTTTTTGGGCCGGCCCGCATGCACCGAATAAAAATAAAGTTCTTATATAATATTGAAAATAAAATTTTATCCTTTGAATAAGTACGTACTTATTCGGTGTCGTTATCACTCGAAACCTTATATGTGTTATAAATTAATGCTTTTTGTTGTTAAATGAATAAAGTACTTTAATAACAATAGATGATTTTTCTTCTACAGCGATCTTTTACATAACTTTTTAATAATAGTTAATAAATATATATTATATGAATCATTATAAAAATATAATAAAAAAATTATTATAAATAAAGAAAGTACTACATATAAATTGCGCATATATATTGTAGGTTTGCAACCCCTGGCTAAACGACCGAAAGGTCATTTGTCCGTTTTTCTGTGGCACATACTATACAAGATGTACAGAATATAATGTGTTAACGACATTTACTGACATGATGTAAATAATATAAAGTGGTACCCACACTGACTAACATGCATACGGAATGCGATGCGTCATCGACACCATGATATACGGAATATAATGTGGTACCGACAATGAGTAGTTTATTTTTAAACGTAACCCTCACGCGTGGAGACAGTTTGCATACATTAATTGCATAAGGATAAACAACCAGACCCGGAACAATCATTTGTAGCCCATACAAATACTTGTTCCGTGCGGGATTCAGACCCGCGGCCCTCAGTGCCGTAGCTCATTGCTAAGCCACTGCACCACGGGGCCGTGAAAGCATATATAAAAAATTCATCGCGAGTTACCGACTTTGACTAACACGTTGTACAGGTGTATAGTATGGTACTGACAATGGTACAGACCTGGTCGTTTTGAGCTGGTTGTGAAGTGGGTACAGGATTTAGGGGCGTGAGATGACCGTTGAGAGTTCTTCTGTCTCCGACAGCCAGCTGCTGCAGTAACGCAGCATCTGTACTCGCTGCGAAAAGAAATTGATTATTCTTAATTATTAACGCGAACACTACACGTCGAATTAAATTAAATTTTCGTTTCTCAGCATTTCATTTGGGATGAGAGAGGGGGCGTTAAATGTGTGATGAACTGATATTCATAGTTCACTCAGACTATCTTTAGCTTTTATTAAATCATTTTAGGACATGTTTAAAATTAAACAACATTTAAGCGACTGAAATTATTTACAAACAAATTAAACTGATGAACAAGTAAAATAAAAGGTAAATAAAGATATTAATAGTTTCACTACCCTAGGAAAGCAGTGCTGAGATTAATGGTGACGGGATTAGTGCACGCAATTGAGGGAGGGCGGGAGGTGCTCTCTAATCCAGGTAAGACACATCATTGTATTTGATTGAGCGGATGGTTTCAAAGTAACTATTAATATCTATATTACAATGGATTTCCCCAAAGTAACGCCTGATTCTATCAATTATCATAAAAGGTAAAATTAAAAATTTTATACAACCAAACTTCAATATAAATAAAACGAGAATATCATCAATTAATGTTATGGCCTTTTTTTTTTTTTTTTTCAGTATTAAAAAAACTGAGGCGCCGGCAAACAGGCACTATTAAGGATAACTCAAAAACTACTGGCCAGATCCTGATCAAATTTATATTGGACACATGAGAAGCACCAGCTTTCTAATAAAAATCATCAAATCAATCAATTAAAAAGTGGTTCACCTAGAAAAAAGTTCTGAGGTAACATACATAAAACAGTCGAATTAAGAACCTCCTCCTTTTTTGAAGTTGGTTGAAATGTACTCTGTGGTCCATTATTTTATATTAAAAGAAAAGAGTTTTGGCGGGAACTTGACCGCCGATGGCTTATCGCTCCAATTTTGTCGCATGAAGAATAGTTTGAAGTGGATTTTGATTCGTAAAAGCGATGCGATTTTGTGAATTAAGTGTCTGTGCGTGTGAACTATTAGAGAAAACGACGAAACAAGTGCTTTAATGTTGATATAAACCTCAAGTTAATTTGATCGCTTGGGCGCCTTAAGAATTTCGTCATAAACTGTCCGTTGGGGTGAGCTGTCGTCAAAATCACCAAAAAACTTCGCAATGTGACGCATCAGCATATTGTGAAGAAAAAATATATAAAATGCAGATTCCGAAAGAAATGATAGGCTCAGAAGGGCTAGAACCCAGAGCCGTAAAGCCAGTTAAATAATTTTTTTTTAAAGAAAACGATTGGACAAAAAGTACTCTATGTTCTACCAGCAACACTGATGTTTTTAAAAGTAATTGTTTACTATAGTAACGTTACCGGCTATGGAGTGTAGAGGTAAGGAGTACAGACAGTATATTAAAAAGTGTCCATAGAAAACCTTTAATAAGGGTGTCGCCACTATAGCTACGGGTTAATTGTTAAAGAACGTGCCGAAAAATATTAGTGGGATAGACGACTATTTCGAGGTTATATTTACTAAATAAAATTATTTTAGATTTTAGAGCTACTGAGCAGTTCAGCAGCACATTTCAAACCGTCGACAACTGCTAAGTTCATTTCATCCCAGTAGCTACTCCAGCGCTGTTGTGGAGAGTTTTTGAACTGTTATTTACTGCTTACAGATGGACACTTTTTCAATTGTTCTACTATGGGAGTTGGTACTCCTTACTTCTACACGGCATATTACCAGCTTTAGCAAATTAGTAATTTTATATCAAAACTAGCGGTCTGATTTAGATTTAAGGTAATCAAGAACCATTTCTTTTACAAATTTTTCGTTTTTATTTTAAAAAAACATTCATGTTTTTCGAAACATGGCGACTGACTGACTGACTGCAGCCCACGGACCTTTGCAACCAACTAAGGAGGCTACAGGTGCGTTGTCAGCTCTGAGGACTAAGATGGAATGCTTTATAGTCTTTAATTTTTGTTATAGGACAGGATGACAAACGAGCACACAGTCCACCTGATGATAAAAGGATGCTGTGGCCCATAGACATCTACATCTATCCTCAATTACGAATCAAAATGTAGATGCGTTGTCACCCGTGAGGACTAAGATGGAATGCCTCGTTTCCAGTAAAAAGGGTCTCCGGTTCTCTACACTCACCATACGAAACACAGCAGCATTAAGCTACTATTTGACGCTGGTATTCTGCGAGAGCGTGGTTCGTCCCCGGTCGAGCCGACCCATTCGTGCTACAACTATACTACTAATATAACTGCAGCATGGCTCTACCACTTGTCGTGCGATGGCCGCAATTGTACATTTGTTGTTTTTGGGGGCAGTTTTCTCTTTCACGTATAAATTATACTGGCTTTTTATGCCCTTCAGACTGGAACACAGCTGTGGAATTCTATTAACAGTAAGAAATGCTACTTTGCAGCAAAAATAGAGTAACCATGAGGTAAGAGAGTAAACAAACAATAACCCCTCGACATAAAATGTCGTTAACCACCAGATCAAGCTGTCACCACCCAAGTATCAAGTCAACTGCTGAATATAGGTAATTCCTTGGGGAAATGCCACAAAGCACGGCCATGAGTCAACTGCATCCATGGACTTACTGCATCTTTCACAAGATCGTCACTGATACGATGCTACTCACGAAACTTTACCATTTAAGACAATATATCACTCACCTAAATTCAACTTCTGTGCCAACTCGTTCAAAAACACCCCACCCTCTTGACTCGAGTCCGGTTTCGTGTCGTTGAGTACTTCAGCAGGTACTTTCGTTTCCACAGGATCATCAGTTAATTTAACGTTTGGCTCTATCAGCTTCTCCACAGGTTTCACCGTTATTTTTAACGGTTTTTCCTCTTCCTTGGGTAAAGACTCTAGGAACTCTCTGTTCAACTCCTCGGCCGGTTTCGAAGTGATGATCAAGTCCTCCTTGGTGATTTCGCCGGTTTCGTTGTCCAAGATCAGGTTTTCCGTTTTCTGTGTTCTCTCCTCCTCGATCGTCTTGGGCGACGGCGTTCTCAATCTCTTCTCGGGTAACTCCTTCGGGTTCTCAACTTCCCGGAGCGGGGAGTCGTGGACTTCTATGGTGTCTATCGTCTTTGGCTCGTCGTGGAGACCGTTGGCGATCTTCTGGAATATCTTCGAGCCGTTTTTCCTTTCGTGGTTCTCGAAGGGTAGTAGAAATCTAAAGAGAGGAGAGACAGGGGAAATTATTAGTATTTATGAAATAAAAGAAAAAACACAACATAAAAAAATAAAACTCAATGTCTGTTTGTAATTTAAAATAACAGATTTCTGTCTGTCTGTTATTTGCGGCCGAGACTGGCCGACAAAACGAACGGTTTGGAGGTTATAATTATTCATGATTTCCACCATGGAGGTTAGAGAACAGGAGAACGATCACTACGTACTGAAGCATAGCCCGCCTGTCCTTGTAAATTGTAGAATGTATAGCGGCGCTGACGTCGGTGAGTAGTGACTGCGAAGTTAGCTGTTTATGAGTACAAGTAGGTGAAGTTAGTTGAATAATGTGTACACATTTTCTTCTCGTTATTGGTGAGAAAATTTTCATGCTCCGTAATTTTGTAATTTTTGACAAAAAGAAACATTAAAAAATGGAGAAATATTTTATTGTGCGTGGATGGGCTTGGAAAATGACTTTTATTGAGCGTACTTAGCGATCGCTGCGCCTCACTTATGGTGTACATATTTCTGGGACACTATTTTCTACGGCGATCGTTCTCCTGTTCTCTAACCTCCATGACTTCCACCGTATCATCCTCTACATATCATCCTATGGATTTCGTCAGCGATAGAAGGAAACTGAAACGGGAGATGGGCAGCAGCATCTTCCAGATAACAACTTAAAGGTAAGTCCAACGGGACGGTCCACGTTCAACGGAAGTCATTAACAGTGATTAAGACCCTGTTAAGGCGACGTATATAGACCTCTCCTAATGTTTCCAGACCCCTGTGCAACGGGAGAGGCTCACATCCGGTACTGGAATTTAACGCGCTGATGAAGAAGAACTTGTACTATTTTCAGGCCCTGGCGGCATAGTTGAAGGCCAAGCGCAGTTGTGGAACTTCACCCTGATGATGATCTTGTTCAGACGGTATGTACAGACCTCTCATAGTGTCTCCCGGCCCTGGCGGCAAAGGGGGAGGTCCACACCCCACGTCTATCTGTGGAATTTAATGTACTGATAATGAAGACCTTGTTCAGATGGAGTATACAAACCTCTCGTAGTGTCTCCTGGCCCTGGCCGGCTGTTCAGGACTCAGCGCCCGCCACAGGCGAGCGCGACACACGGCCTCGTAGCCCCCGCGGGACGCCACGCCAACGTACAATGCACGTAGAGACACTACAAAACAATACAATACAATAGTTTTTTTTTATTAAATATAGATGACAAGTAGTTCTTTATTGTCTTTATTTATTTATCATGGACTGTTATAATTATACATTTACCAGTGTATTAGAAATTATCCAATATGATATTATTATGTTATCTTCTTCAGTCATTGCATATTATTGAGTTTTGCATCAACATACTGATGAATAGCTCAACCCAGCGGACAGTCGATGACGACAGTACCTCTAGTTACTAAGAAAAGCTAAGCGAAATAATTAAGGTTTATATCGACATCGAAGCTTTTGATTCGTCGTTTTCACTAATAGTTATATGTATATAACAGTACTATGGTGTCATGAACACAGCGCTTAAACTAGTTATTTCATATTTATATAATAGAGTGCAGAAAGTTGTTATCAATGGTAAAAGTTCTTCCGGGTGGCCCCTACAGAATGGGGAATTGTGCCCTGACAGGGGTCAATTCTTGGCCCATTCCTGGTGTATATTAATGATTTACCCTCCCTTGTGGGGGATAATCATGATATAGTATTATTTGCTGATGACACTTCCTTGATTTTTTTATTAGTTCATACACGCACTGCGCAAACACTTAATATGCAAACTCGTATTACTTTTGCGTATCAAAACTATAGCAGCTTATTGCTGCTGTTTCGAGTAGTTAGTGTAGAGAACAGGACTCCCTCTTACTTGTAAAGAGACATTCCATGTCAGTCCTCAGGTGTGACAACGCACGTGCATTATGATTCTTATGGAATGTTTAGATTATCGGACGAAAAACTCGCCGAATAATTCGCACTTTATCGTAGACAAGTGCGACGCATAGTCTGTAATCATTCGAAGTAGATTTTTAAAACTGGATGGACTACATCTCGTCTCGTCTCGTTGCTTCGACATTGTGTCTACTTAACTTCAACTAACTACTAAACTTCTAAACTCAGTAATATTTTAAACGAACTAAAGGTAAAATCAAAAAATTTATACAATGACTTCAATATAATTAAAATGAGAACATCATCAATGTATTCTCAGTCGACTAAGTACGCATTACTAAAGATAACTCAAAACTATTGGTCAGATCCATACGAGAAGCATCAGCTTTCAGATAAAAAAAGAATCATCAAAATCGGTTCACCCTGAGATAAGTTCTGAGGTAACGCATATAAAAAAACATACAGTCTAATTGAATACCTACTCCATTTGGAAGTTATTAAAAAAAAAGAAGAAAAGACTGCAGTAGTCGTAGATTTAGTATGAACTGACGACTATGTATATGGCAGTAGTAATAATAGTATTAAGGAGAATATATAAAAGTAGTTTCGCTCTTGTGAAATTCCCAATTTCAGTTGAACCGAGTACAAATTAACTATTGTATTTATTTTTAATACAATTAGGGTGACAAATCAGCACACAGTCCACCCGATGGCAAGTGGATGCCATGGCCCATAGACATCCACACCTAACCCCGATTAGGAATCAAAATGCAGATGCGTTGCCACCCCTGAGGACTAAGATGGAATGCCTCGATTCCAGTGAAAAGGGTCTCCGGTTCTCTACACTCACCATACGAAACACAGCAGCATCAAGCTGCTATTCAACGCTGGTGTTCTGTGAGAGCGTGGTCCTTCCCCGGTCGAGCCGACCCAATCGTACAACCATAATATAGGTGGTGTATTTAGAGCTATTAGAGAAAATCTGAATGGTAGATTGGCTGAGTAAATTATATAATGATAAATCACTATATATATATATATATATATATATATATATATATATATATATATATATATATATATATATATATATATATGATAAATCACTGGTCAGCTGAATAATGACGAGTATGTAAGCACTAAACACCGATAAGAATACACGTAAACAACCCTTCTGATTCGCGCTAAAAACCCGATATAGAGTGGAGAATAGGCGATTACTCGGATCGAGCACACCCGAACTAGGCGTTTACATATCAGTACTCGTGCCTATTCATCTGTGTTCGGCGAATATCTAAACTTTCCATTAATCTAGGATGAATGTAGATGTCTATGGGCCACAGCATCTCCTTCCATCTGGTGAACATTTCTCAATATGAATGAGGCAAATCCAAACCAAAGAAATTTGTAATAACTCACAGTGCTTCAACGTGGGCGCCATCTTCAAGCTCTCATTCCGTCCCTTGTAGAACTGCCGGAGCTCCTGCAGGAACGCCTTGTCGTCCTTGTTCTCCCCTTCAGTCTTCTTGCTGTCCTCGTCTTCTTCCCCCTCGCTCTGCTTCACGGGGGCGCCGTTCCGGAGGGACAGCCGCCGGGGCGTCTGTGGTTTCAAAATGTTAATACCATTACCAATAGCCCTGCTATAAAAGTCTATTGCTCAACATAGGCCTCCCCCACAGATTGTCTCATTGATATTTTGTCATAGTTACAACGCTGGGCAGATAGGTTTGCAACTGTAGTTTTTATGTTTTTATGTAGTAGTTTAGTTAGCTTTTATGTTTTTTGTAGTAACTGTAGTTTTTATGTATAACTGCAGTTTTTATGTATATGTATGTAATGTCCTCCAGACCGAATTTAGGTCACGGCGCCCTGCCTCAACGGATACTAGCCATCGGCGCAGGACAGGATTATAGTGCCCAAGTGTATGCACAAGCACAGGTGCACTCTCTATTCCCTCACTCTCATAGTACGATGGGACGGTAAATCGACACGAGCGGAGAGAGATCAGGCGCAGGACCAACGGCTTTACGTGCTTTCCGAGGCACGGGGGTGAGACACCGCCAACTTCCTGACTCCGGGCAGCTACTGAGAATTTCTTGACGGAAAAACTCAATAATTAATTTTTTGGCCCGACCCGGGATTCGAACCCAGGACCTCATGATCAGCAATCGCACTACTACAACCATTAGACCAACGAGGCAGTATATGTATGTATTGCGAAAGTAAACAAAAAGATATCCAGTGCATGTTGTTACGCAATGTCGAGGATGGACTATCAAATATAAGTGTTACTAGAAATGCCTATTTTGGAAGCGTTTATCCACTTCTAACTTACGGTATCATATACTGGGGAAATTCACCAGATATACAATCCACATTCCTTCTCCAGAACAAATGTCTTAGAACAATATATAGCATGCATAGTACCGAATCACTAAGAGATGTTTTCAGAACAAAGGGTTGCCTAACACTCACAAGAATCTTTATCCTGGAAATATGTTTATTTGTCAAAAACAATATGCAATATTTTAATTTGAAATCCGATTCAAAGAAAAACATTTGCAATCAATATAAATATGATATAAGCTTACTTATTATTAAAAATGTGATTTACTATAAAAGTATCTATATTACATATAATCGTGTATACAATCAGTTATCACCAGCTAATTAAACTAAACAATAAAATAATTAAGCTAAACAATTAAATGTAAATATATTCAAAACAAAATTAAATTGTTAATTGTAAATGTTTTTTTACAATCTCAATGAGTTTTTAAGCTATTGCATAGTTTTTATCGCGGGCTTTGAGCGCGGCGACCACTGACCTCTATATATACAGCGTACTTGTATATATAGAGGTTAGTGGCGGCGACCGAATCAAGAAATTCCGTAAGAAAAATAAACCTAAGAACCCAAAACCTAACATCGTCTAACGTCGTTTAAGTTCGGCAGACTTCGGCACGGTGTTTGTGTGCGTGCGACTAGACGTATGTGTAGTAAGATAACAAGAATATTTTAAACAATAATATAGTTTATTGCAAGAAGTATATTCTTTGTATTTATATGAGTCGTGATGCTAGCAACCTTTGTGAATTTAGAGTATTTAATAAACACAGACTTTTATAGAAAATTATCGTTTGTCGGAAGAATCGTTAATTACATATATAGTTTCAATGATAAAATCCTGAATAAATATTGTAAGATAATAAAATATTTTACACAATATTAATTCACTTTATCAATAAAAGAAAGAAAATTTTTTCTTATGTACAGGTAAAGTGTAATTGAATTAATTAAGAAAATTAATTAATATCACAAAGAGAAAAAAAACTGTATAAATAAAATAAATAATAATTATAATTGCATAAGTTGATAAAAATGCTATGCAATAGCTTTACCGCGGCAGTTCCCGAGTGTCACACGTATTTTTAATAAAATTAATGTTAGTAAGTAGTACATTTTAAATTTATTTTCTTAATCATTGCATATCCGACATGGGTAGGCTGTTAAGCCTAAAACTATATGTTTTTGTGCTAACATCATATTGTACACAGTTATGCAATAAATGTATACGATAGCTGGTGCCCGTCTCCTGTGTTCAATTTTTCTCTGTCGCCTTTTAAAAGTACTCACGGGACGACGTGGAGTTTGCAGATATTCTTACGACGGTACACAGTTTAAATTATACTATAGAGAATCCCTGGTATTTTCTTAGCAGATATAATCGTAGAAAAATGTTACCATAAGCGCTACGTCATGCTAGGCAGATGTTTTGGACATCGCAGTATTAAGCGTTTAGCATTTTTGACGCTGCTTTGACGATCTATATATTTTACGCCTGGTATAAACTAGATAGATATGCCCTATGGCATTAAGTAGTACATATGGCGGACTTAATGCCATAGGGCATTCTGTCCCAGTCAACCATTAGGCTAAACAGAGATAGACATTTTGGATAGGCGGTGCAGCAATAATCAAATAGAAAGGATATATATATATATATATATATATATATATATATATATATATATATATATATATATAAATATGTATCGTAATTAACGCACACCCTCAGACACCCCAATTAGTATATTATGTTATAATACATACACTGAATATTTTTATGCACTGATTATTTATCAATATTTATACTAATTCCGGAAGAATGTTGTGGTCACAGTACAAATCCACGCAAAGACTTTAACGTGCTTGAAATAAAGTTCATTTTTCTTTATTTTTATTGAATGACAAAATTAGTAATAATACAAACAAAACTGCACTCTTAAAAGTCTTATCGCCTTAGGTTACGGTCCATTTCAGTTTTTTTTAAGCTATTGCATAGCTTCTATCGCGGGCCTTGAGCGCGGGGACCGAATCCAGAAATTCATTCCGTAACGAAAAAACCTCACGCTCCCCACTCCGACGGGCACGGAGGTGTGGCTTGAAGGCCGTGCATCGTCTAACGTCGTTTCAGTTCGGCAGACTTCGGCACTCGGCAGACTTCGGCACGGTGTTTGTGTGCGTGCGACTAGACGTATGCGTGTACACTAGCTGCTAACTCAATGATAAAAATTCCTGAATAACCTACATGTATTGCAAGATATTAAAAATATTTTAAACAATATTAACTTTTCATTTATTCAATAATTATTTATGTAATCTAAGTATCCTGTTTACTCCAAAGAATACAGTTTTAATTTTTTTTATTGGATAGATTGGCAAACGAGCACACAGTCCACCTGATGGTAAGTGGTTGCTGCGGCCCATAGACATCTACATCTATCCTCGATTACGAATCAAAATGCAGATGCGTTGTCACCCGTGAGGACTAAGATGGAATGCCTCATTTCCAGTAAAAAGGGTCTTCGGTTCTCTACACTCACCATACGAAACACAGCAGCATTAAGACACTATTTCACACTGGTATTCTGTGAGAGCGTGTTCCTTCCCCGGTCGAGCCGACCCATTCGTGCTAAAACTATACTACTAATATAACTGCAGCATGGATCTACCATGTATAAACTATATACACTTAACTACTCAAAATAGTCTCATATTTTGCTTGTAAGTGGACGAGACATTGTTATACTTAATAAGTTTAATTAGTTCTACATAATCGATAAAATCATTTTACCTATAAAATGCAGTAGATGGCGATATAACAAATTATTATTTTACTTGTGTACTCCAAAGAATACAGTTTTAATTTATTACACTTAAATTCTCAAAATACTCCCATATTATGCTTGTAAGCGGACAAGACATTGTTATACTTAATAGGTATAATTAGTTCTACACAATGTCCAACACTAAATTTGAACTAATTTCTTTAAAAAATGTACAGTACCTACCTAATATCTAAGCATCTAAGTAATATTTTATGTTACATTACTTTTTATACACAAAAACAGTTCAAACTTAAAAAACTATCATAAAACTAATAAAATTATATTTATGTAAACTAAGTATCCATAAAATCTCATAATATAAGAAGTGACATATAAGTCTATATCAATAGGATATAAATGCCTATATCCATAAATGTGTATTATGCCATCCTTAAAATCCAATAACATAACAAGTTACATACAAGTATATATCAATAGGATTTAGCCTGCGAGAAAATGAAATCGTGTCGTGTTTGCGCCATCTAGCGTACAGTGGCGGCTCATATTATTAGAGCCATCTACTTAAATAATCGATTTGGCATTTTAATCAATATATATTGCATTCAAACTATGTCTGCTAAGTTTATATTTTGTTATTATGAATTTATGGATCTGTGTAGATTATGAATTTTTAACTGGCAACACTAAAGAGTGGATAATCTGTCACATGGTCGCCATTTTGTTGTAACACAGTCAGTCGACGCTTAACAGTTTCGTTGTCCGGGTGAGTATTTTGGAGATTATTTATGCATTTTTATCAATTTTTTTGTAGTGTTGGTGTGTTTTAACAATGTTTGACCATATGCAGCTTGCTTAGATATGTTTGTTGCTAAAAGAAATCATTTTCACATAAATTTTGTTATTTTATTTGCAGGATATATTTTAATCATGAGAAAAGCTAAAGATCTGTCTCCAAGGAAAATTTCCGAAATTAAAACTTTATTATTGCATACTGGGCATTCCCAAAGAAAGATTGCATCGATTGCTAATGTTTCGAGGGCATCAGTTGACCGAATAAAAAAAAACTTGACACAAATGTGGACCTGACGCCGAAACGTGCGAAAAATTGTGGACGAAAGAAAATTACCACGCCACGTGATGAAAGAAAAATCAGGGATATCTGTGTTGAAAACAGGAAGGCACCTCGGAAGATTCTTACGAAGAAGGTACAGGACGCTGGAATCAACATTTCCCTAGCAACAGTTCGTCGACGCATGAAAGACTTGGGGTTCATTTGTCGTCGACCGGCTAAAAAACCTCTTCTTACACAGGCTATGATGTCAAAGCGTTTACAATGGGCAAAAGAACACCAGAACTGGACTGCTGAAGACTGGAATAAGGTAGGTGAATAATTCTTGAAGCTGCTGGAAGTAAAAAGCTAGATCCACATTAATTTAAATTAAATTTAAATTTTGATTTCTGTACACTAAAATAATAATATTTCAGGTTTGTTTTTCAAATTTTTGCAAATTTTGTCGGACAAAGCTGTATTTGTAAGAAGAAGGAAGGGTGAGAAATTCAAAGAAGATTGCATAATCAAGCGAGTGAAGCACCCATTCAGCATCATGGTATGGTCCATAATAAGCAGCAAAGGCACTTGTCGTCTATACATTGTGGAGGGAACGATGCGGCAGGATCAATATATCCAGGTCCTTGAGACAAAAATGCTGCCCCAGGTCCAGGAGTGGTTTCCGAACGGCGAATTTACGTTCATGCATGACTCTGCTTGCCACAAAGCAAAAAAGGTCACGAAATTTTTAAATGCCTAGAAAGTAAAAGTTCTTGACTGGCCTGGGAATTAGCCGGACCTCAATCCCATAGAGAACCTCTGGGAGTTGATGAAACGAGAAATTTCCAGAGAACTCATCACTAATAAACGCTAACTGATCGAGCGTTTGATAGATGTTTGGCACCGGAGTGAATCAATTAAGATAAACTGCTCATAATGTATCGAAAGTATGCCCAGGAGAATTCAGGCGGTTATAGAAGCAAAAGGCGGTGTCACTAAATATTGATTTAATTTATATTTTTATATTTATTGCACTTATTAAATACATAAGTTCCGTTTTCTTAAATGTATTAATAAAGCAATATACTTAATAAAATATATTCTAAACAAAAAACCTTCACATCCTGATTTTATTTCTACCTAAACTAAAATTAATCTACTTTTTTACTGTGGCTCTAATAATATGAGCCCCGACTGTATTTTGTGCGTACCACCTTGAAAGTTAATCAATGTTTGTTCGATAAAATCGTTTTACGTATAAAATGCAGTAGATGGCGCTATAACAAATTATTATTATACTTGTTTACTCCAAAGAATACAGTGTGTCTAGTCAGTGTGAATACATAATGTCAAACATTAAACGTGAACTAATTTCTTTAAAAAATGTACAACAAGTTATATATAATTATATATCAATTGAATTTAGCCACCGAGAGAATGAAATCATGTCGTGTTTACGCCATCTAGCGTATTTTTTGCATACCACCTTGAAAGTTAATCAATGTTTATTCGATAAAATCATTTTACGTATAAAACGCAGTAGATGGCGATATAATGAATTATTATTTTACTGTTTACTCCAAAGAATACAGTTTTAATTTATTACACTTAACTTCTCAAAATAGTCCTATATTATGCTTGTAAGCGTACGAGACATTGTTATACTTAATAGGTTTAATTAGTTCTACACAATGTTCATTCTGTACTATTTCACGCTGGTATTTTATGAGAGCGTGGTCCTTCCTCGGTCGAGCCTGCCCATTAGCGCTACGACTATACTACTAATATAACTGGAGCATGGCTCTACCACATATAAAACTATATATACACTTAACTTCGCAAAATAGTCCCATATTATGCTTGTAATCGGACGAGACATTGTTATACTTAATAGGTTTAATTAGTTCTACACAAGGTCAAACACTAAACTTGAATTAATTTCTTTAAAAAATGTACAGTATCTACCTAATATCTACGCATCTATATAATATTTTTTGTTACATTACTTTTTATACACAAAAACAGTTCAAACTTAAAAACCTATCATAAAACGAAAAAATAATTGTTTATGTAATCTAAGTATCCTCAAAATCTCATAATATAAGAAGTGATATATAAGTATATATCAATAGAATTTAGCCTGCGAGAAAATGAAATAGAACATTAAATTAAATCGTTTCCTGTTTATGCCGTCTAGCATATTTTATGCGTACTACCTTGAGAGTTAATCAATGTTTTTTCGATAAAATCATTTTACGTATAAAATGCAGTAGATGGCGCTATAACAAATTATTATTTTACTTGTTTACTCCAAAGTACAATTTTAATTTATTACAATTAACTTCTCAAAATATTACCATATTATGCTTGTAAGCTGACCAGACATTGTTATACTTAATAAGTTTAAGTAGTTCTACATAATGTCAAACATTAAACGTGAACTAATTTCTTTAAAAAATTTACAGTTCTTACCTAATATCTACGCATCTATATAATATTTTATGTTACATTACCTTATATACACAAAAACAGTTCAAACTTAAAAAACTATCATAAAATGGAAAAATTATTATTTATGTAATCTAAGTATCCTTAACCCTTAACCACCTAGCGTCGGTCACAGTAACTCCAGGCGATATATTTTTAAGCTATTGCGTAGCTCCTATCGCGGGCCTTGAGCGCGGGGACCGAATCCAGAAATTCCGTAACGAAAAAAAACCTCACGCTCCCCACTCCGACGGGCACGGAGGTGTGGCGTTGAAAGCCGTGCATCGTCTAACGTCGTTTCAGTTCGGCAGACTTCGGCACTCGGCAGACTTCGGCACGGTGTTTGTGTGCGTGCGACTAGACGTATGCGTGTACACTAGCTGCTAACTCAATGATAAAAATTCCTAAATAACCTACATGTATTGTAAGATATTAAAAATATTTTAAACAATATTAACTTCTCATTTATTCAATAAGAGAAAAAAATTGTTTTCTTATCGGTCACCACGCTCAAAAAGTGTAACTTGATTTAATATCAAAGACTTAACTGCATAAATAAAATACATAAATAATTATAATTGCATAAGTTGATAAAAAATGCTATGCAATAGCTTTACCGCGGCAGTCACCGAGTACCACACGTCTTTTGTTTTTTGACTGTACAGATTTAGTGTGACTGTACGTTTATTTACGTATATTTAATTATTTTTGGGATAAAAAAATACCTATATTAAAAATGATAGGAATATATATATATATATATATATATATATATATATATATATATATATATATATGTTTATATATACTATATACATAAATATATATCTATATATATACATACACAACAGGTGTGTGTAAATATTATCTATGTCAGAACAAGTATGAAATATATACGAAAAAAGAGCTGTGTTAATTCAAACTTGCAACGATTTAATCTCATAATTACGGACTTGATTTTTAAAACAAATTTGTTTGCAGCTTTTTGATATATCGCCGTCTGGCATTTCTTAAGGCAAAACATGGGGTTGGGTGATGGAATATTTTGCAGGTATACTGCAATTTATTGGATGCTAATAGTAGCTTATGTACGCGTGTGTTTGTGCGTGTGCGTATGTGTGCATGTGCGTTAGGGTTGCCAGATGATCGGGATTTGTCTGGAATCTCACGACATTTTAAATGATCTCCAGACTCCCGACAAAACTCAAAATCAGCTTCTTGGAAAGTGAATGTACGGCCTTTGATTTAATAAAAGTTGAGTTGGTAATTAGACTGACTTTTGAAGTAAATTGTTTGAATTTTAAATATTTTCTGAATACTACTAAAGCATCCAAATTGATCGACTCTAAAGTTCAATGACAAATATATGTGGCAACCTAAAAATTAAGTGTACTTATATCAGTATCGTTCAAAGTATTTTTGTAGCTTTTTAATAAAAAAAAATTTATTTTTAATATTAATTTCTCCCAACAAAAACACCAAAACCCCGACGTTTTCTAAATTTGTCCAGATATTTTTTCTTCCGATCTGGCAAACCCAACGTCTGTGCGTGTTAGTGCGTGTAGTCTGCGATGAGACGAACGGGATGCCACGTTGGCGCGTCTGGCGTACGCGTCAGGTGACCGCGACCATTGGAGACGGTACGTGTTCGCGCGTCTTGCGTTTTAATCAAAACACGTTGATTTTTCTGCGATGTAAAACATAAATACGGAGACGTTTATTAGCGAAATAATGTCTCCGTCCGCAATATGGTCCAGTAGGCATAAACATTATAAGCATAATATTATATTTCTCAAAACTTTTGTTGGTAGTTGACGTATCCGCTAAACTAATGACTGTCTTAATTTAAATCGTGAACTCCTATTTTAATTTGCATTATATCTTGTGCCAAAAAACTACTCCCTTCTATACACGAAAGTACCAATTTAGAAAACCTCATTCTTTAACTCGCGCAAAGATAGCAGGAAGACACCACATTGCATGCAGCCGCCTCAACGTGGCACACTAAAGAGGCAAGGTGCAGCGTCTTCACACCTCCCGCCTCTCGCCTCGTGGCCAACGCCATAGTGTACGTGTGTCAGTATTGTTGCACGCTATAATTAGCGCCTGGTATGTGGCGGCTGATTATTAGCGCCATCTGAATCTCAAGCGCTCAAGATCTTTCTAGAGCTTTCCCACTAGCGCCATCTAGTATCGATTGGAAGAACTAAGCTTTCTAGAAAGCCCCCACACTCGAACCTTCTGCACCTGGTCGGTTGGGGCCGGTATTTGCTGGAATATTCTGGATGTTTCGGTGGAAAAGGCCTATATATAGCCGTTGAAAGCCGCGATCGGGGCAGTATTGAATTGGCGATACAAGCGAGACATCAGTGATCAGTGTGATTTAAGTTTTAATTGGTGTTCGGTAATTAAAGTGTAAATTTTGGTAATTCAACGGCAGTTTTATTCTCACGAAGGCTACACTCGTAACAGTATGTTTGTGTACATCTATGCGTGTGCATATCACTAGTGTGTGTGTGTGCGGTACTGACCGGCGGCGGCGGCGGCGGGTGGGGCCGCGGCTCGCTGTCGGTGTCGGAGCGCGAGGCGGAGCGCGAGCGCGCGCGCCGGCGCCGGCCGCGCGGCCTGCCCTTCAGCCGCGGCGCCAGGTGGTTGCACACAAACTCGTGTCCCTCCAGCTCAGGGTACTCGAACGTCTCCTGAACGGTATAACGTTCCAACGTCACTAAATTTTTATACGTGCTAGAGGTACGCTGCAGCTATGTTATGGCTGTAGTACGAGTGGGTCGACGGGGGAAGAACTACGCTCTCACAGAGTACCAGCGTAAAATGGCAGCTTAATGCTGCTGTGTTTCCTGCTGGGTGTAAAGATCCGGTGACCCTTTCGTACTGGAAACGAAGCATTCCATCTTCGTCCTCAGAGATGATAACGCATCTGCGTTTTGATTCTTAATCGAGGATAAATGTCTATGGGCCACAGCGTCCACTTACCATCAGAAGGACTGTGTGCTCGTTTGTCACCCTTATTCAATAAAAAAAAACAAATACGTGTCTTCTTTTATGACTATAATTATAACTATTCTCTCATTCTACACTACTCCAGCTCAAGTTACTCGAACATGTGCTGGAAGTTGTAAGGTTTGGAAGGTGACGAAGGTAGACGTGTGTCTTCTTTTATGACTTCACGAGTTTATCGACTAAATTGGCAAAATTTTGAAAATGGACCACATTAGGAATACTCTTAACCGACGAGCGTGTATGCGTAGATAATATGAATGTAAAGACGAGAGATTTATGTCAGGATATACACTATATATGGTTCTATAACACACATTACTTACATAACTCTAACTTCTTTTTGCTTTGTACTTTACTGAATCTGAAAATATGTAACCAAGAAGGAATATGTCATCGTGTCAATCGTCACTCCATCTAATGGGGATTCGCCCTATTAGTGGTTCGAGGCTGCCACTCTAGAATCTTTTTTGTGGGTTCTTGAGCTATGGACTATTTCGAGCTTTATACATATATACATATATATATATATATATATATATATATATATATATATGTATATATATATATGTATATATATATATATGTGTATATATATATATATATATATATATATATATATATATATATATATATATATATAGAGTTGTAGGCCATAGACATCTACATCTATCCTCGTTTGCGAATCAAAATGCGTAAGTAAGAAAGTAAGAAGGAAGGAGGAGTAGAGCCATGCTGCAGCTATATTAATTGTATAGTTGTAGGACAAATGGGCCGACTCAACCAGGTAGGACCACGCTCTCACAGAATACCAGCGTAAAATAGCAGCTTAATGCTGCTGCGTTTCGTATGGTGAGTGTAGAGAACCGGAGACCCTTTTTACTGGAAACGAGGAACTCCATCTTAATCCTCACGGGTGACAAGGCATATTTCAATTCTTAATCAAGGATAGATATATGTTTATGGGCCTAAGCACTTACCATCAGGTAGACTGTGTGCTCATTTCCTACTTATACTTGTACAAAAAATAATTTTGTGCAAATATTACGCCCTGATAAAGTGGAATAGGGAGCAATCACGAGAAAAACCAAAAACAACCTTCGCCTACCTTACAATACAAAATCCTGGTGTTCTTAGTGGGCGCCGCGTATCCCCCCAGCGCGGCCACCAGGGAGTCCCGCAGCCAGTCGGCCTGGATCCCCTCGAGGCGGGACAGCAACGCCCTGTACCGGCAGTAGCGAGGATACGAGAACACCATCACGCCCGGGCTGTCCGCGTCCACGGCTGAAAACAGCGTGAAAATTCTACGCACTGGATACACTTTGAACGAGTCTTCTTTACGCATGCTTGATGTTCTCTTGGACGGTTTCCAACCAATGTAACAGTATGGTACTGTTGTGGTGTAACAGTGTGGTACATGGCGACGATAGATAACACTAGCGCCATCTAGTATCTAGTAGCAGAACTAGAAGGGTCAAGATCCTTCTAGAAATTTCCATGGAATAACTTTCTAAAACTAGTCAGATTCGGGACAGATATGTTCTCGAACATTCTAGATGTTTTCTACAGTAAAAGGTTCCGGAACTATTTGAGGCCGGTATAGACCGCGACTCGGATCAGTATTGAATTGGTAATACAAGCGAATACTTCGAAGCGATACAACTGCGAACTAAAATGATCAGTAGTACAACTGTGTTTTGTTATTAGTGTTCTGTAATTTTAGTAATTCACTCGGCAGATTTTATTGTCTCGAACTCCAAAGCTCGTAACAGTGCGTAAAAGTCAAAAAACTTCTATGTATACTAACTACTAGGCGGGCTCTACGGCTGTAATACATTGTGCACTAAGTTACGGTAAATTCTGCGTAACTTCTTTAGTCGACTGCATGCGGGTGAGAAGACTAGTTTTCTACAATCGTAACACAGATTTTGCTTAATGTGACTATGAAAAGCCTGTCGTTATGTACGCACTTTGTCAACAATATTTGAAGTTGATTTCAGATAAGTATGTAAACTTTATTTCGTATTTGCTTAAAACAGTAACTGCCGTAAATGAAAATACAAGTGCTTGGCATATTTGCCATGCCAGATACACGCCGAGACGGCGCCTGCGCGATCCATAACTGTGACATAGTTATTTCTTATATTTACGCGAACACTACACATTGAAATAATACTAGTTTTTACGGAATTTATCGCGTATATTTTAACTTTTTAAATACCCGACGTTTCGAACGCTTTACAGCACTCATGGTCACGGGCAGGACTGAGATGTTCAACGTCCATATGTCATAGTTAACCGCGGTTACCATAGATTAAAATTTAACTTTTGTTCCGATCTATGCAGTATGAACTTATGGTATCTTGAAGTCTTGCAGTTGTATGCTTGGGTTGGGATTTAATTTTATTTATTATAGGATCCCAAGCAGATGGTAGCACCCAGCCATCTTCTCTATTGAAATTAGGATGTTTTTTGATTTCAATAGCCTCGCGAATCATCCTTGGAAGGAATCGGTGTTATTTAGCGAGGATCTGCGGTCTATCAAATCTGATGTAGTGACGGGGGCGATCCTTTACGTGTTCACAGACTGCAGACTTCCCGGAGCGTCGATTCTTCACATCAGCTATATGTTCTTTAACGCGGGTTTTTATTGATCTTTTAGTTTGTCCTATGTAGGAGAGACCACATTGGATGATACAACAATTAGGGTTTTATCCAAAGGCCTCAACTTTGCAATTACACCCCGCAAATTACCGTACGAAGAAATTATCTGTAGTGTCGAGGACTGTTTATTTAAAAACAATATGCGGAAAGAAGATTTGGAGGCGATACGTCAAGACATCTCGTCTATGTTACGTCGATGTTCAGTGCCTAAACCGAATCTTATCAAAGACGAATTTATAGCGTTAAAGAACCTACGCAATAAACACGAACTTACGATTCTCCGCGAAATAAGGGAAACGCCACGGTAGTCATGGATACGTCAGATTATAATTCTAAAATACAAGAACTTTTGTCGGATGTAAGTACTTATAAAAAAGGTTAAAAACGACCCAACAAATAGCACACTAAAAACAACTAGTGACCTCATAAAGAAACACTCCGAAAAATTAAATCTGGACGTAAAATGGATAATACCTACGTGCGCCAAATCACCAAAATTGTATGGGTTACCAAAAATACACAAGCCCAATGCTCCATTACGTCCCATAGTGAGCCAAATCGATTCACCAACTTACAGATTGGCTCAACACTTAGCGAAAATACTCTCACCACTCAGGGGACATACAAGAGCACACATAAAGGATTCCTACCATTTTGTCAGCGAGATTAAAGACCTACATCTGGCAGACAATGAAACTATGGTCAGTTTTGATGTGCAGTCATTGTTTACATGCTTACCTGTTGAAGACTGCATCTCAATTGTAACTAGAAGGCTGGAAGAAAACAACATGCCCGTAGAATATGCAGTATTACTCAGACACTGCCTTACATCTGGCTACCTATTGTGGAAGGAGGAGTTCTACAAGCAAGTAGATGGTGTGGCGATGGACTCACCTGTATCTCCCATTGTCGCCGACATATTTATGGAAGACTTTGAGGAGAAAGCCTTGCTTAGCTCTCCCATAAATCCAAGGTTCTACAAGCGGTACGTAGACGACACTTTCACAATTCTACCTTTAGATAAAGTAACTGCATTTTTTAGACCATCTTAACTCTATAAATTCTAAAATTCAGTTCACAATGGAGTTAGAGGCAAACAATTCCTTAGCTTTTCTAGATGTGTTAGTAATTCGGAATCCTGATAACACCTTGAGCCATACTGTGTATAGAAAAAAGACCCATGCAGATAGATATTTAAACGGTGATTCTCACCACCATCCTTCACAGTTAGCTACCGTGGGTAAATCTTTGTTTCAGAGAGCACGAGGGTTCTGTGACAGTAAAAACCTGGCTGCAGAGCTCCACCATCTCAAGCAAGTTTTGCATGACAACAAGCTTCGAGTCCCGCGCCTACGTCACAGAGAACGAGTGAAGCCGGCCACAGTCGAGCGTGTACCTGCTGGTACTGCCATATGTTAGAGGAGTCACTGACAAGATTGGCTACATCTTGAAGCGCGCTTCCATCAAAACATACTTCAAGCCGCTGAAGAAGATTGGTCAGTTTTTACCATCGGTCAAGTGTAATGTCCCTCTGCAAGATGCAGGAGTGTACAAGCTTGATTGTGAATGTGGTCTCTCCTACATAGGACAAACTAAAAGATCAATAAAAACCCGCGTTAAAGAACATATAGCTGATGTGAAGAATCGACGCTCCGGGAAGTCTGCAGTCTGTGAACACGTACAGGATCGCCCCCGTCACTACATCAGATTTGATAGACCGCAGATCCTCGCTAAAGAACACCGATTCCTTCCAAGGATGATTCGTGAGGCTATTGAAATCAAAAAACATCCTAATTTCAATAGAGAAGATGGCTGGGTGCTACCATCTGCTTGGGATCCTATAATAAATAAAAGCATACAACTGCAAGACTTCAAGATACCATAAGTTCATACTGCATAGATCGGAACAAAAGTTAAATTTTAATCTATGGTAACCGCGGTTAACTATGACATATGGACGTTGAACATCTCAGTCCCGCCCGTGACCATGAGTGCTGTAAAGCGTTCGAAACGTCGGGTATTTAAAAAGTTAAAATATACGCGATAAATTCCGTAAAAACTAGTATTATTTCAATGTGACATAGTTTTTGTTCTGAATTGGCAGTCCAGTTGCATACAAGTACCACTTTACGTGGTACATGCTGCAGTTATATTGGTAGTATAGTTGTAACACGAATGGTTCGGCTTGACCGGGGAAGAACCACGCTCTCACAGAATAATAATATCCTCCAGACCGAATTTCGGTCACGGCGGCCAGCCTTAACGGAGGCTAGCCATCGGCGCAGGACAGGATTATAGTGCCCAAGTGTATGCGCAAGCACAGGTGCACTCTCTATTCCTTCACTCTCATAATCCGATGGGACGGTAAACCGACACGACCGGAGAGAGATCACGCGCAGGACCAACGGCTTTACGTGCTTTCCGAGGCACGGGGGTGAGACACCGCCAACTTACTGACTCCGGACAGCTATTGAGAATTTCTTGACAGAAAAACTCAATAATTGATTTTTTGGCCCGACGAATCCCGGATTCGAACCCAGGACCTCATGATCAGTAGTCACACTATTACAACCACTAGACCAACGAGGCAGTCACAGCTCACAGCTCACAGAATACCAGCGTAAAATTTATTCTGCTGCGTTTCGTATGGTAAGTGTATAGAACCAGAGACCCTTTATACTGGAAACGAGGCATTCCATCTTAGTCCTCACTGGTGACAACGCATCTGCATTTTGGTATTCGTAATCGAGGACAGATGTAGATGTCTATGGGTCACAGCAACCACTTACCATCAGATGGACTGTGTGCTCGTTGGTCACCCTGGTCTATAAAAAACATAGATGTCTTAAGACAAAATAGGATCCCCTGAGAACCTATGCTGTAGCTTCGACTGCATACGGACGTCACTCAGTAATAGTGACAAGCTGACCTCACTTAGTTTTTTTTAGTTAACGCTTAGTTAACGCTGGTCTTACCGCCGGTCTGGGTATATAAGGTGTAAAAGGGTAAATATACCGCCATCTATCAGTCAAGTCTGGCATTTCCCATATTCACACAGGATTCTCTGGTCTCGGATTCTCTTACAAACAATTTTTTTTCTCTTAATCATAATCCCATACTACGATTTTCTTAATTTTGTCCTGCGCTAGGGCCGCCGTGACTGAAATTTGATCTGGAGGACATTATTTCTATTTTTTTTTAATAGAAGGTGACAAACGAGCACCTGATGTCCACCTGATGGTAAGTGGATGCTGTGGCCCATAGACATCTACATCTATCCTCGATTAAGAATCAAAACGCAGATGCGTTAACAGCCACGAGGACTAAGATGGAATGCCTCGTTTCCAATAAAAAAGGGCCTCCGGATTACCATTCACACACTTCGACACTCACCATTCGAAACACAGCAGTATTATGTTGCTATTTTACGCTGGTATATTGCGAGAGCGTGGTCCTTCCCCGGTTGAGCCGACCCATTTGGCATTTGTTTTCATAGAACCAATGTCAATGTCAGAGGAAGTCTCCTATGTATTTTATTACCCTAAGCCCAATCTAAAACTTTAAAAGTCCGTGTGTAAAGTGGGAAGTGTCAAGAGATGTGCTGATCTGTCTACGACTTTACTACAAAGATTTTAAAACTTTGAACTACTACTTATTGTCCTCAACACCAAATAATGTCGTGAGGGACTACACGACACTACACATGGTCAAAATGTCTCAATAGAGAGTAGAGATTATCGCCATACAATCGAAATTCGATCTGCGCATACCATCGAAATTCGATCACTAATCTGTGGTAAGACCATACGATAGTACGGAGTGTAGAGGTAAGGAGTACAGACTGTATATTAAAAAATGTCCGTAGAAAACCGTTAAATAACGGTGGCGCCACTATAGCTACGGGGTTAATTTTAAAGAACGCGCCGAAAAATATTAGTGGGATAAACGACTTTTTCGAGGTTATATGTACTAAATAAAATTATTTTAGATTTTAGAGCTACTGAGCAGTTTAGCAGCACGCTTCATACCGTCGACAACTGCTAAGTTCACTTCATGTAGCTTTCCTGTAGCTACTCCAGCGCTGTTGTGGAGAGTCTTGAACTGTTATTTATTGCTTACAGATGGACACTTTTTCATCTATTCTCCTATGAAAAATTGTTCTCCTTACCTCTACACTCCATAATACGATAGTTTTAGTTTGTTTTTATTTTATTTATTGTATTACATAGCAAAAAGGTTTAGATTCATTACAGAACTTACTAATTGCGTTTTTCTCCCGTTCTATATCACTGAAGTCCAGCTTCGTATGATGGAGCGGCGCGGTGAGCCGAGGGTCCGCAGGCGGGGCGCACGCTCCCCTCCAAACTGCTCGGAGCCCCCATCGCCAACCCGTGCCTTCGCACACCCAGCTCAGCAGATCCTCCGCACGGACCACTACTTTGTCGTTGATTGCGAGCACCTCGTCCTGAAAAAAAGAAAAGAAGGGTTGAAGTAGGGGCAAATGACAGTGTACACGTGGACGTGTCTTTACACGTGGTAGAGCCATGCTGCAGTTATATTAGTAGTATAGTTGTAGCATGAATGGGTCGGCTCGACCGGGGAAAGGACCACGCTCTCACAGAATACCAGCGTGAAATAGTAGCTTAATACTGCTGTGTTTCGTATGGTGAGTGTAGAGAACAGGAGACCCTTTTTATTGGAAACGAGGCATTCGTAATCGAGGATAGATGTAGATGTCTATGGGCCGAAGCAACCACTTACCATCAGGTGGACTGTGTGCTCGTTTGTCACACTCTCCTATAAAAGAAAAACAAACTTATTTTTTATGTGTGTTACCTCAGAACTGTTTTCTACGTGAACCGATTTTGATGATTCTTATTTCATTTGAAAGCTGATGCTTTTCACGTGTTCTCATATAACTTTGAACAAGACCTAAACAGTAGTTTTTGAGTCATCATTTTACTTCGACTACATTGATGATTTATTTATATTGAAGTTGGTTTTTTAATTTTATTACTTGTTTACAGTATAAGAGTAAACAAGCATATAGACCACCTGATTGTGATGGACGCTGTGGCCCATAGACATCTAGATCCACCTTCAATTAAAAATAATATGCAGATCCATTGTCACCCTTGCGGACATGCCCGATTCCTATATTAAAGAAACGTTTCGTTCCCCCTAAAGATCCGTTTCATTACGTACGAGGTGTATGTAAAAAAAGTTTATTTTACAAACTATTCATCCAGCAAGTTAAGATGACTTAAAAGAAAAACTTAGAACTGGTATTTTGTCACAAAAAGGGGTTTGCTAGGCTTTCGGGCATGCCTCCGCCAACTGCAATGTGTTCGCTGTGCTGGGGAGCACGTCGCCAGCCTTTGCCCAAGGGGCAGAGAGACAAAGCCGAAGTGCGCCAATTGCGCTAGAAACCACACGGCTAATGATCGCCGCTGCCTTGTCCTGAGGAGGATTGCCAGGAGGACCCGAAGAGGATCCCGCAGAGTCACCTAAAAGCAGTGGCCATCCAATAGGACGGGTGGACCACCGTCAGAGGGAAGGGTAGGCATTCAGCTCCCCCCCCCCCCAACCACACACCCACAATACCAATGTTAATTTACTAAAAACAGCTCGTAAAAGAAAATGGTGCGTTTGTAAAATATAGAAACCCAGCATATTATAGAATGCCTTGTTACAAAAGACCTCCAGTTATCTACACTACTTAAAAGAAAGAAGAGCTTAGAAGAAGACGCGTTTTATGGAAGAGAGGACAAACGGCAACACCACAGGAATTGCAAATTCGTAATCGACATTTTAAAAACTACGCTCTTTTCTTTTCTTTAAGTTCCTAAATCCAATAAACATGAGTATTGATGTGGGACAGTAGGTCAAAGTCACGCAGTTAATTTATTGTTACTGTTTCAGTCCATATTATTTAGACCTTTCATACGCGGTAGAGTCATGCTGCAGATATATTATGGTTGTGACACGAAAAGGTCGGCTCGACCGGGTAAGGATCACGCTCTCACAGAATACAAGCGTTAAATAGCAGCTTGATGCTGCTTGTGTTTCGTATGGTGAATGTAGAGAGCCAGAGATCCGTTTTACTGGAATTGAGGCATTCCATCTTAGTCCTCAGGGGTGGTAACGCATCTGCATTTTGATTCGTAATCGAGGTTAGATGTAGATGTCTATGGGCCACAGCAACCATTTACCATCAGGTGGACTGTGTGCTCGTTTTTCACCCCGTTCTATAAAAATACAAATAATTTAATAGAGTACTTAGAAAATTAAGTAAAGAAATAATTCAGACATAAATCTGTTCACGAGTGCGGCCGGGTGTTGCTCGGGTAGGGGGTCGGCAGTGAGGGAGATAACAGGGTCGCACTTGGTATAACATTAAATACATTTCAGTTTTATATATAAAATCAAATCAAATCAAATATATTGTGATCATAGGGTTATAAGGTGGTTTACAAGGAAAAGATTCAGTCGCACTGAGTATATTATATTGTATACCAAATGGTGGATACCATTTGGTATACAATATATATTAGTTAATTACCACACGCAAAATATTAAACAAAAGGCCTCCATTTAACTAATCAAGAAAAAAGTTTCATACGAAGTAGAATAAATATAGTTAAATGAAATTATAAGATAAAAATTAATATTTAATAGAAATGTCATTATTTTAGTCATATTTTAAATAATTTGCTGATATCACTTATTATAAAAAGGTCACATATTTTAAAAATTTCGTTTAACAAGATTGTTTAAATAAACCACATTTAAAATTGTATGTTTAATTTTTGATATCAAACACAAATTTGTAAACTGATAGCAACAAGATAACACTTATATTGTTAGCTTGATATAAGGAAACTTAAAAACAAACATCAATCGATCACTAAACTGTAAGATCCCAAATTTGGGCTGAGGCCATGGTTGGCGAACGATTTCACTATCAGTCGAATGCCTTAATTAACAATAATGTTACTTGTCACTTATCATTAATTATCTTTTTACAATCGGAACGAAATAATAAATTAATATGTTGGTAAGATTGTATTAAACTGCCTTTTTTGGTTTGGATCTATCACAATTTAGCATTTGACACTCGAATCAATTGAATTAGTTATAAGAGTTATCAAAAGAGAATAGAATGTAATGACGTTATAGGTTATACAGTTATTTATTTGTATAATATTTTAAATACAAAAATACTTGGTACAGCCACGCTGCAGCTATATTATGTTTGTAGCACGGATGGGTCGGCCCGACCGGGGAAGGACCATGCTCTCACAGAATACCAGCGTAAAATAGCAGCTTAATACTGCTCTGTTTTATGTTGAGTGTAGATAACCAGAGACACATTTTACTGGAAACGAGGCATTTCGTCTTAGTCCTCAGGGGTGACAACGCATCTGCATTTTCATTCCTTATTGACGGTAAGTGTGGATATCTATGGGCCACAGCATCGTCTTACAATCAAGCGGACTGTGTGACCATTTGACACACTTATTTTATAAAATAATATATACAAAAATGTACTTAATGTAACATAAAATAGAAAATCAACAAGGTTTAAGACACTATTAAAAGTAGCCAGCAAATTTTATATGATAAAATAATAGTAAAGAAATCACTTCCCAGTCCGTCACTGTCGCACCCCCGGGAAGCGACCCTACCGAACAATATCTAAGGAACATACCTATCCTTATATTATTATATATATAATATCAAGAAATATATTCACGCTTTATTCCTGAATGCAGCTTCCAGTAAACTTTTTGAATGTTTTACATAAAAAAGTGAATTTGAACTATAACCAATAGCGAAATGAGTGTTCTAGTTTTCTGTATCAATATTTGCAAACGTTCCGTTACTAATACTAATAAAACTATCTTGGCATTTGTCTGTTTATCACAGATGCTTTCCTTTAAGATGTTTTAAATACGCAGCCGCGGATTGTAAAAATTAAGAGGTTTTTTTCTACAATAAGGATGACAAAAGAGCACACGGTCCACATAATGATAAATGGATGCCGTTCATAGAAATAATAGAAAACAGAAAAAAAAAATTTATTAAATAAAAAAAAATTATCCTCGATTTAGAATGAAAAAGATACGTTGTCAAACTTGCTGTGAAGCAGCAGCAGCATTAAGTTGCTAGTTTACGATGGTATATTGCGAAAGCGTGGTCCATCCCAGGTCGAGTCAACCCGTTACTGCAACATCCACAATATAGCCGCAGCGTGACTTTACAACGTTGAAAATATCTTAACATACAAGTGGTAACATTAAAAATTTTGTACAACCGACTTCAAAAACACCGAATCAATGTACACGTAGTCAATTAAAAACGCATTACTAAAGATAACTCAAAATCTATTGATCAGATCTTGATCAAATTTATATGGGACCACATAAGAAGCACCAGCTATGAGATAAAAAAGATTCATCAAAATCGGTTCATCCAGAGAAAAGTTAGGAGGTAACACACATAAAAATAGAACATACAGTCGAATTGAATACCTCGTCCTTTTTGAAGTCGGTTAAAACTTAATTTTATTGGTACCTCTATACCATACCATACCATATATATTAAGTGAATGGTAAACGGAGTGGTAATTTTTTTTTCATATTACCATTTAAAGGATCATTTTAAAATTTCCATATTTTATTTTGCGTTTGATTTTACTTAACGTAATATTTCCGATTTGAAAATATATAAACTAAAAGCGTTTTCAATATTTTTTTTTGTAAGAAAAAAGAAAGAAACTCATTACTTTGTCTCGGGTCATTGACGTACACTAAATAGTATATACAATACTAGTAACGTTAAAAGCGTCGCTAGTATACTTTATTAAGGGAAATATTAGTATATTTTGTTGTACTAGCATTTTATTAGAGTGTATTTGTGAAAATATCCTATATTATGGTACTAGATATTTTTTATGCATTTGTTTTTAATAGATCACTTAAGATATTGTAAATCTTCAAATTCAAATTCAAATTAAATTATTTTATTTTTGGATATATGGGTTAATAGGTCTTATAATTTTTTTTTGGTATTTAAATATTAGATTTTATTTATTTTTATGACATATTTCTGAAAAGAATAAAGTATGGTATTTATTTGCCATAAACATTAACATTATTTCTTTTCCGCCACAGAAACCTAAATAATTAGGCAATTTAAATTTCTGTGTTTTTCCCCCAGGAATTACTGAAAGAGATAATAATGTTTGCAATAAAGACTAAATATTTAATTACACGAGTATATTTTTCAAACAAAATACCCGACGTTAAGCTAAAAAATATTACAGATCAAACCCTTAGGATAAATTCCAGTACTTAAAGTAAGCAAATACGCGAATAAAACTTGTCGTTTACAAAGGCAAACTAAACTAAAACTAATAAACGCTAACGCCACCCGAGTCCGACCCTGTGTAATTCTAAATGA